CGGTGAACAAAATTTTGCACACACACACACACACACACACACACACACAAGCATCCATACATACAGAAAACCCCCTTTGAATTTTTTTGCATGTCTCAACGTTTCAAATTTCCGAGTCCAAAAATATAAACATCTTTGGGGTAATCATTTTTTGAAATAAAATTTTAAAAAATAAAAAGACTTATGTAATTAATTACTGAATAATTCTTGTTTAATTAAAATTATTTTAAGTTATTTTTCCTTATTTAATGTCATTTTTATTGTACAAAATATAAATGTATTCATTTTACATAATAATAAAATATTATCAACTATATAAACAAAATTTCTTGAAATAACGATACCGTTATATTGATTTAATTATATCTTCATTAAAATACTTTTAATTAGTCTCCTAATTAACAAAATAAATACGTAGAATATAAATAGTTAACGTTTATTAATATCTCCTACTAATGAATTAATTAAAATTTTTAAATTAATACCAACGTTAATGTGAATTAAACTTATTAAAATTATATTTTATAAGATTTAAAAAGATAAAATATATTTTTAAACATGGAATAAAAGCTATAAATTCTGAAATATCAATCTCAAAAATAGATTTCAGGAATTAACAGGGATTTCTCGTGATTATCTTACATGATCTGTTTTAAAATATTATAACCTGGTATTTAAGTACAGTAAAATTTCTATAGGGTCACTCGCCAGTCCGACACATCCTGTAAACCAAACACTATGAAATTTTGTTGTTACCGGTATCACGTGTTACTGCTTTGGGGTACTCGGAATTGAATACAAGCGAGTAACTTTGTATGGGCAGATATGTAAATCCACGTCCCTTATCTTTCCAGTTGCCTCATTGTGACCCTAGCAGAGCTCACGATGGATATGGGAGAAAAGGCACTCTTAATCCCATAAGATGAAAATAAAGTCAAAAATATAATATGAAAACAGATATTCACATATGGAAGCACGCGCGATATAAAAAATTCAAACGCTCATAACTTCTGATAAGTGCATCTCTCGAGAAAAATTGTTTCAAACAAAAGTTTCTTTTCTTTCTTTATGTAAATCATAATATTCAACGAGCAATTATCTATTGTGACATCGACAGAATGCCGGGCTATCAGGCTCCAATTTTTAATTGTATTTTTAATTTAGTTAATTTAAAATATATGCTCTCTATCTCAAATTAGTAATGGCTTGTCCCTGTACATCATACTTTTCCTTTAACGATAGAGTCGTGCTGATTATCTATTAATTACTTTCAGGGGAAAAGTTTTGAATTGAAATAACGTGACTTCCAATTCGTATCGGAGGTTCGTATAAAAAGTTAATCGGGGGCCTCCTGCCCTAAATTTCAATATCCTGGTCTCGTCTTTCATTTACCTTACTCCGTTCTCGAGATTAAGGAAAGAAAGACAGACAGACGACAGTGAGAATTTATAGGTCTATAATTTTTTTTTTTTCAAATTGCAGTCCAATAAACAATAAAGATTCCTATTTAAGAAAATCAAGTTAATCACTTTTTCATTGATTGTAGCATCATCTATAATAAAATCAATAGCGCCATTTTGTGGTCTGATTAAAGATTAGTATCTTCAATTTAATGAATGTTCCCAGAATGTGTAGTGTATAATACACATGTTGGGCTGCAATTTGAAAAAAATTGTAGATTTTTAAATTCTCATTGTCATTTTGTGTTAGATAAATGAAAGACAAGACAACATATGGAAAGTTTAGGGGCAGGAGACCCTGATTAACTATATGCGATGCAAACCGAAAGTCACGTTATTTCAATTCAAAACGTTTCCCCTGAAAGCAGTTAATAGATAATCAGCCTGACTCTACTGTTACAGTATTATGTACTGTACTGTACATGGAAAAGTATATTGTATAACATGGGCAAACCACTACTAATTTGAGGTGGAGAACATACATTTAAAATTATGATTAAAAATTGAAGCCCGGTATTGTGACGACGTCACAATAAATAATTGCTTGTTAACACTATTTTTTAATTAGCATTTAAGAAACAAATAAAAATAAAATAGAAATAATAAGAAAATAAATTAATTTCGAAACTTATATAATTAAAATTAATTTAAAAATGTACTCACTACAAACTTGTAAAATTATATATTTTTTTTGAAAAAAAAACACTTTATTCTACGTAACTTTTGATTACATAGAATAAAATAATATAGAAAAATTATATTTACAAGATTTTATAGATTTTTTCATTTTCAGGGCCGATACAAGAGCTTCTGAAGCCCCTTGGCAAGAAAAATTTGTGCGCCCCTAAGCATTAAATATATTGTCATACTCACATAAGCACACACATACACCCAACACACGTGGATATTTATTAAAATAATTTCATTGCAAAAATTTAAAAAAGTGTTGGTTAATGTGTATCTAGGTAGTCCAAGATGGAGGCACTTCCGGTTAAGACTACTAGCGTTCCCAACGATGACTGTTGGAAGCTAAACGCGAGCACGTGACAACCTAAGAAAACGCCGACGCCTGACTGAAATTTTTAGATTACACACTTGTTTTACATTACAGACTACATAAAATGTAAATTAAGTATTAAAAAATACACAGTACACAGTGTTTACAAAAAAGCGTTTTTACTTACGTTTTCAAAACTTGTCCTTTCGTCTTTTCCTTCTTTTAACAGCAACACGACTGCCAATTGTCTCCGGTTGGGATGTTTCTTTTCTTTACTCGATGATTTTACATTCCTACTGTTCTCAGCTTTATTATTTTTCTTTACTTTCGTTTTCTCCTTCTTCTTTCGGGTTTCTGGGGTGGCAGGCACAGTCGCTGGTTCCTTCCATACAGAGATCTTACCTGATCCTGGATATATAAAACTTAAATGTTTCGCAAACAATTGGAAACGTTCTCCGGGCTTCATTGTATGCCATTTAAACAACTTTTTGTACATGAACATATACAGATAGGAATCCGACAACTCTTCGGTATAATGTTTATGCAAATATTTCCTGTCTTTTAACACACCCCACAACCTTTCTATCTTCTGAGTATGTACAGTACACACTATTAGCTTCACAAAATTTTCTGAATAATTCACCGTCTGGTGAACTATTTCTACACCTTCTACTTCGTTTATGTGATTGTAACCCCTCCATTCGTCTGTCAAAACCGTACTTCCGGAATTAACGAATTTTCAAATTATCCAATTCAATGTCTCTTCGCTCCTATCGTTAACTTTACAAACAAAGCATATGTTATCCTCACGACACACTCCGCCGACTACTCAATCTTGTGCCCTTCAATTTGCGACCCCTGTCGTATTTTCGTCTAGATATTACGATTTCGTCAATTTCCACGGTTTTGTTCTGTCCTCCTATTTTAAATGACGATACGTTATTCACGGCTATCATCATAACTAAACATACATAGTTTGCCCAATTAATAGAAGTGTGATTACTAATACTACAAGCCAGGGCTGCATTTTAAACGTACAGTACATAGTTTGCCCAATTAATAGAAGTGTGATTACTAATAGTACAAGCCAGGGCTGCATTTGTTAGCGCGCATTCTACGCACAGCAAGTCCATATGAAGGAAAATATGTTGCCCCAAGAAATATGCCCACACTTACCCTTAAAAGTACCAACAAATGCGGAACCATTTTTTTTACAATAGGCGCATCTCATCGCTACGGATTTCCTGTCAGCACGGTACACTAATTTACACAGACGGGAACAATTAGTACATACATCTTCGACATGCTGTAAACCAAGTTTTACAGCTAGTTTCACATCCGACGAAATTCTCTTATCCAGCCCTAAATCGTTATATTCATTTTCAAATAACCTGAAGAACATTCGTGAATCACACTTACTTCAAAATTCTTCAGAAAAAAATATCTTCAGACGTCATTATTTCTTAAATTTGAAAAATAATTCTATAAAGAAGCAAATAATTAATTCTAAAAAGGAAAAAAAAGGAAAGTTAATATTCGAAACGTTCTATCAAAATTCTACAAGCGCAAACGTCTAGTATACGCTACGACAGCAAGACAAATTAAAAATTTACATATCTCTACCGTCACAAGCAGTAATGACGTATTAATTGATTTGCATAAAAATATACCGGATTGTGAAAAACGCCCTCTATAGTTATCATCCTAACAATTTCCGGAAGTGCCTCCATCTTGGACTACCTAGGTACACATTAACCGATCATTAAACACTGAACACTGATGTCGCTGTTTCGCCCCTTACAAACTGGAGTTTTTTGGGCTTTTCTCACATCACTAACATCTAAACAGTGGCCAGTTTCCTATAGAAAGTCTTTTCAAGTAGCACCTAAATAGAGACAGTTTCTCATAGAAAGGCAGGTTTTCTTCACATGTCTAAGAAAAATAAGGGTCAATTTCCTATAGAAACGTCCTTCACGTGTCTAACATCTAATTACGGGTCAATTTCCCTTAGAAAGTCTTCCCGAGTGACACTCTTCCCTTGGCAGATCGTTGCTTTACGTTATCAACTCAATACGTCTCGTTGCTTTATGTTATCAACTCAATCCTATCATATGTTTAAGAAAAATTTCTATATATTTATCTTTAAGATAAGCAATACTACAGAAAATAAAAGCTAAAAGCATACAAATCCAAATAAATTAAGAATTTCTCGATGTTTCAACATTATTAAAATATTTATAGCTATCGATAAAACAAATATTTGTTCTTGCAAAACCAAATTATCATTTATTATCATAATAAAAATGATTTTATACGTATAAACATGACGTGTGTTTGATGTTATGATTTTGAATATAATTAAAGTTATAGAGAAGCTTTAAATTTAAAATTTATGATTATCAAAAGCAGATGTGAAAGGATTTTCATGTTTTAACATAAAGCAAATAATTAGATATCAAACACTGAATATCTTTACCTTTTATAAGCTATTTTCAAGCAGAATTTATTCCATTGATCTTTTAAAACCATTCTTTTTATGTCAGACATCCTAATTAATGCATAAAAGTAGAGAAAAGATCTTAAGGTAGATTATTCTAAAACTTTTTGAAGTCTTCAATTGCTTGAGTCATCTGTCGTATGATTAATAACCCAGATAATTATCGTTGAAGTGATCACAACAGAATATTTTTAGACCATAAAAAGAAAGTGTAATCTAAGGATTACTAAAATTATTTTTCCGTGATAAGTTTTTATATTAGAAAATAAAATAGCGTAATCTTCTTTTCTAAAATTTTTTTTTTGCATACTTGCTATTAATTATTAATTGTAATTTTTATTTATTTATTTTTTTATGTAGGGGGTAGGGGAAAAAACCCCATTTATTTTTCTCATTAAAAAACTAACTTTGCATATTTTTATTTTCATATATAAAATATATATTTGTCTGTATGACAATCATAAATCATCGTTTTATCTCAATGAAGTTTTGTTACAAATTTACAGCATTTTTTATTGGCTTAAATAAAGAGAAAAATATTTTATGAATGAACTATCAGAAATAAAACATTCTTCGAATTTACGCTTACCACAGAACTAGTTAGATTTAAATACACTAAACTGTAGTAAAACGTGCCACGTAATGTCAAGTAAATTTTGTTTAATTAAGTTGGACCGTCCTTTAATTTTGCTGAAAACTTATAATTATCTAGGGTCAAAACACTAGTTAATTTTAACAGATTTTCTCATATTAATTCTAAAGTGTTCATTTCACTTTAATTTACATTTGTAAATTACTTTAGACAGTATATTTCTTTCAATTCATCCCTTATTATATAGTATGAAACAATCTTAAGAGTGTAACAATTAATTTGAGATAAAAATTAGAGAAAAAAAATTCATAAATGTTAATTTTTGCCAATTATAGCTGTAGATGGTCATACAAATTATCATTTTTTCACTGTAATTTATTGTTTAATAAATAAAAAAAATTTTAATAATATTTTAATAATTCAATTAAAACTTAAGTGATCAAAGCTGATGGCTTGTAATTAATTTAACAACATTTGTATCAACTTTTCTATTTTATTCTTTTACGATTCGTATAAATAATTCAATGTGTTCTTAAATGAATTACTCAATAAGCATAAAGGATACGGTTAAATTTATTTACATTTAAATTTTCAAGTAACTTTTTAATTTAGTTTTATTATTTTCTAGTCATTTTAGAATTTTTATTCGATGCTAATGACATTTCCTTTCTTTAGTCAGCTCGAAATATTGATTAAGGATTGTTAATATCTGTTGACATGTTTTTTCTCTTTCAAAAAAAATTGATTTTTAAAATTCTTCTTTCATTTTTATAAGTGTAATTATGGGAAAATCTCATTTCTATAATATTTTCTGTTTTTTTTAAATATACTAAAAAAAAGTCTTGTTTGAAAAATATTTTGTAGAACATTTTACATAACTTATGCCTACAGGCTACTGTTTTTTTACTATTTTATTTTTGTTTTTATTTGCGATAGAGACTATAAATAGCCATACAATTATTAAATTATTTAAAATAAATGACTTTATGTCAACGTGACGTTCTCACTTTTTTAGTGACATGACCCCCTCCGGTATTACATCAATCATTTATTAAATTTTTATACGTCAAAAAATATTTTGTATATTTATTTATTTTTTATTTAATTTTTTCGTTTATTACCAATTTCTTTATAAATTTAACTTATTTAAAGTCTAGTTATGTGTAAGGATTTTGCATATTAATCGTTTTAAAAATTCAAGTAAAGAATTATAAACTTTATAAACTAACTTACTCATTCATTTTATAGTAATGGGAATATTGAAATTGTTTTTATATAATCATAATAAACATGATAATATTTATTCAATTCCTTTGTAAAGTGTAGAAATTTTCAATTATCATCCTTTGTAATGTAATATAATTCACAGATATTACGCTCAATCTTATCTCCAACTGAAAATACATTATAAAAGTTCTCATCTCAACAAATATGTTCTTAAATGAAAAAATATAGGTCTATATATTTATTTATTCTGGCTATAATTGTGTATGGTATAGTAATTCTTTTTAATTATAAAAGTACACTTTTATATCTCGAATTAAACAGACCGTAAACTGAGTGATTTTAAAATTTATTACATTCATAAATCGAAAATTTATAACTTTTTTCCTAAATTATTGTATTATTATTATGTGTTGGGTTTAGTGGGTTATACTCAGTACAAACCGGTGGCTGTGTACTATGCCGGACCAGAGTCAAGGCATAGCAACCAAAACAAAACTAAAATTAAATGTGTGTGTCAGTGTCTGTATTAAGGAATTTCCTAACAATATGGCATGTATTCAATATAGTGGCCTTCTGTAGTGTGATGTATGTATTTCTACTCAATTGTAATGTTCCCAGGCTTTTGTGTAGCGTGTGTGGTATCACACCTGTACAGGAGAGAACGACAGGTACAATAAGCACCCTATCCATCCTCCACAGATGCCTGATTTCCTGGGCGAGTTCTGTGTACTTGCTAATTTTTTCAGTGCATGTGTTTTGTACATTGTGAGTGTTTGGAATGGCTATGTCTATAATGTATGTGATTTTATTGTGTTTGTCAATGAGTGTGATGTCTGGTCTGTTGTGGTAAATTGTTTTATCTGTGATTATGGCTCTGTCGTAATACATTTTGTGCGTGTTATTTTCCAATACTGTCTGTGGAATATACTTGTAGTATGGTTCGTGGATGTCTGCCAATTTGTGTTTCTTTGCAAGCTCTTGGTGTATTATATTTGCTACTTGATTGTGTCTATGTAAGTAATCTGTCTGTGCCAAGAGCTTGCAACCAGAAGTGATGTGTTGTATAGTTTCTGGCATGATGTGACATTTTCTGCATGTGTCATTTGTGAGTGTTGTATCTTTGAGTATGTGTTTTCTGTAGTTTTTAGTATTTATGACCTGATCCTGTATGGCAATCATGAATCCTTCCGTCTCCCCAAAGAGGCATCCCCGATCTAACCAGCTGTTTGACGCAGTTTTGTCAACAAAATCCTGGGCCAGGTCGTAAGGATGCCTGCCATGGAGAGCCTTTTGAGCCCATGATTGCTTAATGTTGTCTATGCTTTTTATATGTTGTGTCATGTCTGTATGTTGTGAGTGTAAGTTTAATGGTGTGTTATTTGAGTCTGCTAGAGTTACTGCTTTATGTAACTGTGATGTTTCTTGTTTCTTGTAGAAAAACTCTCGCAGTGACTGTATTTGTTTGTAGTGAAGGTTAACTATGTCAATCAGGCCACGTCCGCCTTCTTTACGTGGAAGGGTTAATCTTTCTGTGGCGGATTTAGGATGATGTTGTTTATGCTTAGTAAGTGTTGTTCTTGTTTTCCTTTGGAGTTGCTCGAGATCTGTGTGAGTCCAATGTATAACTCCAAAAGAGTATGTGAGTACTGGGATGACATATGTGTTTATTGCTTTAACTGTGTGTTTTGCATTTAACTGTGTTCTGAGTATAGCGTTTAACCTACTTTGGTATTCTTTAATTAATCGTTGCTTTATTTGTGTATGTTCTGTTAGTTTGGCCTGTTGGAATCCTAAGTACTTGTAGAACTCGCCCTCTTCCATGGATTCAATAACGTCTCCATTTCCAAGTGCAAAATCTTCTTTCTTCAGGATTCCTTTTTCTATGTGAAGTTTTTTGCATTTGTCTAGGCCAAACTCCATTTGTATGTCCTTAGTGTATGAATGTGTGATTTGTAGGAGTTGATGAAGTTGTTTTTGTGTGGATGCATAAAGTTTTATATCGTCCATGTACATGAGATGTGACAGTGTAAACTGTGTTGTTTTTTCGTGTCTGATATTGTAGCCGTATTGTGTGTTGTTTAACATGTTGGATAATTATTATTATTATTATTATTATTCAAAGTCGATAAATCACTATCTCGTAAACTTTCTTGAATTAGAATTTCATTGATTTTTAATTAATGAAAAATTGTTACTTTTACTGTTTTCATTCTATAAAAATGTGATTCATTATTTATAATTCTTCAGAATCAACAGTGGCGCGTTATCCTGTCGGTAAAAAAGACAATTCCCCGAGGCCCTCACCAATATTATAAACTTAT